TTATTAAGCTTTGACACAGTCATTTATATAACTTTTCGATCGGATTGAAGAATTCTTTTTTTTTATTTCAGTAAAAAGTTCAACAAAGCATCACAGATATCATTACAGGAAAATTAGTTAATCAATAAAGTTACTTTTTCTCTGAAGAAATTTCACAGAAGGATATTTTGTTTTCATTCTCCTTTCAATGGATGTAACTACGTAAAATTGAGTTGAAAATTTTTTTAATGGAAAGAGAAGAAAAAAATGGAAATCAAATATTCGATGAATATAGTGAAGTATCCCCTAGAGGCATAACATTGTTATGTATAACAAAAAACGTTTATTATTTTTAAAATGGAACTTTTGAACATTTTTGAACATGGCGAGTAATCGCTATTGAAAAATTTTTCAGACTCTTTCATATATTAATTGAATTTTTTTTTTATCAGTTATTTTATTATGTGGATTAAAGCTGTGCTCTTAAAGCCAAAGTAATTTGCGTTCAGTATACTTAAAACATTTTATTGATTGCAAGAGAAATTATATTAATTATGCAAATGCCGTTGATTACTTTGTGAATGTTACAAAGAATTTTTGCTCTTTGATTTGTGAACTTTATGAAAATGTAATTACATTTCGGTTGCGAATAATTTTTCAATCAAATATTTTATAAAAAAAAAACATTTCTATATAGGTAAAAAATTTAGTTTTGTGAATAAAATATAAAATTTATTTGTTGTAAATTTGTTTTTATAAATATCTCTACAGGAAAATATAAAAATGAAATATTTTTATGAAACATAAAAATGTGAATTCATTCAACGAAAGCTCACATACTTTTTTAATTGCACTTATTACTTTTTTTTCAACAAAAAAATGGAAAATTAATACCGAAATTATCTGAGGAAAAAAGATGCTTAATAAATAAAATTACTGACAAATTCCTGCTTTTTTCACAAAATTCAACTCTTAAAATTTTAAAAAAAGCAAGCAATAAAATACTGTTTGTGATTTACGGACGTCGATAATAATTTTCAATACTAAAATGAACTGTTGGTCAAAATTTATATCTATCAAAGCCCTACATACTTTTGCGATAAATAAAAATAGTTCGATACCATTTTTTGCTATTCAGTTATATTTGAGTAAAAATAAAAAAAGATTTTTAAAATCTTTTAAAAAATGAAAAATTCCGTATAGGAGTACAAAATAGGTCCATCGTTAAACCATAAATGTACATGAAATAACGTTCTGATCCAGTCATAACCCAGTTTATAGCCTCGTTTGAACTTGTTGTCAAAGCTAGGAACTCCTGTATTGTACACATGTATAATTTAAATAATTTATTGATCAAAGTAAAATAGTTCCTTGAATTTAAAAATGACTTGGTAAGTGTTTAGAAATAGAGTTCCAAATCGAGCTAAAAGTGAAGACCAAATTAAACCAAAAAAAATCGTTCTATCATTTAGACTTCTTAAAATCTGTAAAGCTTATCTACAAACAACTACCATTGTTCTGAGTATGTATCTACTTATAATAATGTGAAGAAGTAGAGACGTTGAATATCAAGAAGATGCCATTCAACTGAAATCGCTTTGAAAGGAATAATTTATCCAATTATAATAAATAAATTCTGAATAAAAATACTAGGAAAAGATCAATTCGATAGAATCTCTAAGATTCGAACAAAAAATCTATTTATTGATCATTAAAAAATTCTGATTCAATATAAAAAAAACGAGTATCGAATCTACTTTTCATGATTAATAAAAAAAGAGATTGCAATTTATAAATTGCACTAAACTTGAAATTTACCTTCAAGCAAAATTCAATACGTGATTATAAAGGGATAGGCTGGATTATTATTATTATTATTATTATTTATAAGATGTTTCAGATATCTTAGAAGATTTAATTCCAAGAACAAAACAGTCCATTAAATTCAAGGTAATACTTTGCTCCATCACAAAGAAGGATATAAAAAGTAGTAAATAATTTAATTATTTAATCGAAGTAAATAGAGTAACCAGAAAAGGTAAAAATCGATCGCAAAATGGTTTTAATGACTAAGAAAGTTCTCAAAAGCTTTAGGATAAAATGAGGAGAATTTTCTGCTATATTAACCCATTTTCTACAATTTCGCCAATTATCCCAGCAGGACAATAATTTGGACAATTTTACGGTACAAAAGGGGATATTATTCTCGATCTTGAGTTCGGAAAATGCACTACTGATTGTAAGTAATGCAGGTATAAATGCGGGCGTGGCAACAATATTGTGGGGTGTAGACTCTCGTAGAGTATAGGCAATATATTCTCATTTATTGAGCGGATATTTCCACAAGTCTGTTCTTTACCTCCTATTTTGATTTCTAACTGGCGTCTTCAGGCTATATTTTGTATTATTACTTACAATTGTACATACAATATTGAGTATTTGATTGTATGTTGGTATTAAATGGCTGTTATTTTCAACATGGATGATGTTAAACAATGAAACTACTGCTCTCATGTCATATACATTCTTTGGACATATACGATCTAGTGGTGTCTTTTATGCTCATTGACGTCTAGTCTAGTCTAACGAAAGAACAAAGCTAGCATTGTTCAGATGTTCTTCGGCATCAGATGTGTAGAAATGCACTGACGTTTATGACAAAGATGAAACCAGTATTGCTGCTGTTGATGAATAATATTGTGAAAAACATTTGTGCATCACTAAATTATATGCATATAAGTCAATTAGTTTGTATTATCAATCTCATCCTTTATGCTCTCTGAATTCAGAATAATGGAAATCCAACATTTCAAGCTGAATTTTCAGTATTTCCCTCGTAAATTCATGGGTTTGGAATACAGATAACTGTATCGCTGAAATAACAAGTTGACTCCTTTCAAAAATTTGTCGCTTTTTGGAGTATTACTAAGCAGTTTTCCAATTCCGATTGTTTTGGTAATAAACTCAAATGGTAATTTTCCAAGTTTTTGATGAGTTTTTTCGTTCATTAGTTCTCCATTTTGATACCTCAATAGGTTTGTTAGTGGAATAGTTTTATTTCAGATTTATGAGATTTATTTTTATTACTTTTGAAGCAATTAATCGATAAAACTTTATTGATTCTTGGAATTATTGAGTGAATAATGTTTAATGTCTAATCAATAATTAAGTACTACCTTAACAGGATTTCCTTTGTACCCGGCTTTTCTACTTTCCGAATAAATGTACTTCAATCAAATGAGGATTTATTTCAACTTAGTTAAAGCTTTCAAATAAGTAGATGTTTACCACTTTTAAATTATGTTTGCTTGTGACGAATTAATGCATTGATTAAAAGTGGATTAAAGTAGTGTAACTTGAATATAAAACAGTCACTGTTTATATTTATAATGGTATTTTATTCATTTACTCATTTAAGTTGCAAATGAAGTAACTGATTTTATTGATTTAATAACTTAATTTATCAATTACTTATTTTAAAAAGTTAATTAATAAAAATAATTCATTATAAATGATTATAAGCAATAATTTCCGTGTGTGCAATAAAAAAATAAATATTCGCTAACGTTGAATATTTAAGCGTGCTGTGATTTTAACTCATTGGATATCGAACGACGAAAGTCATAATATATTGTTCAATTTATTATTAGACTTTTTTCAAGTACATACAGAGAAATGTATAGTAAAAGTTACTGTCCACATTGTAACTACAAAGTAATTTTTACTCTAATTTTACCCTAAAAATTACTATACAGTTTAGTAATTTTTACAATGTGTATAGTCATTTTTACCCCCACACTGCAGTACCACCAAATTACCATAAATTCAGGGTAATTTTTTCTATAAATTTCTCTGCGTGTACAATTTGTTAATTTTTATATTATGTTTTTTATTTTCTTAATAATTGATAACAAAAATCTCACTATAAAATAATAAATGTTTGCTAAATGTATTTAAGATTATTCGTGGTTTAAAAAAATAGTAACGAATTTATCTTGAAGCAAAGCTTAATCTTGTGAAATTTAAGTCTTCAAATAATACAAGTTGCAATGTTATGCATTTAATAATATTTTCGTACTTTTTAAAAATATAAAATAGATTTTTAATTGAATATTTTTGTTTGTTGATATTGATAAATCATTATTCAATACTCAAGAATTCAAAAAAATTAATTTATTTTAATTTTTTCAACATTATTCTAACGACAGAATTCCCTAACATTTTATAACTTTTATTTACGTTATAAAATTAGATTGATTGTATTTGAAAGTTCTGATAGCCCTTACTAATGATTCTTCAATTACGACATTTACATCAAATATTTTTATTTAATAGTCTTTGAAATGTAAATTGAATTAACATTAATTTATTCCCAACACTTTATTTTTCCCCAAGTATTTGACAATTAAATTTTCTTCCTTAATCCATTTTTCATTTAGTCATAATTTAATAACATTTACAATTCCATCATTTCTTTTCTCCAGGAAAAATGAGAAGAAAAAAAAAGTTTAGTGTCTATTTTTACATGCAAATTCGCATAAGCATACGCCTGTAAATTTGAAATTAATTAAATCTATTTACCTATTGCAAAATTAAATAGTGAAGTAATAAAAATAAGATTGCACAGTACTCATTTAAATATAATTTGCATAAAATTTGTTTTTTTCTTATATATCAAATTAACATATATACGTTTCTTTACTCTTATTATTATTGTCTTGAAAAAAACAAAAAAAATTGTTTTTAAATTTTGTCAACTTAATCCACGATGAAAGCTTAGAAATACACACCGGTTGAGTGGAACTACTTTTTTAAGCAAGATAAACTCAGAAAAAATTTCAAGGATTAAAGTGGAAGAAAAGAAGAAAAATATATTGAGAAGGAAGGAACGAAAGTGACGAAAAAAAATATTCTTTAGTATTGATCGTCTCGTAGCAAGGTGCGTATAAAGTGTATATAGTTAGATATCACTTAAGTTATAATAACAGGTGCTTTTGTGTAACACTCCACGTTAAACTCACCTTAAAGTCGATGTAACCATTCTTGTCCATATCGAATGTTCGGAAGACATGATCGCAAAACTCCTCAGCATTCCCAGATGGGAAAAACATTTTATACATATCGACAAACTTAGCAGGCGTTAGCCTACCATTGGGACAGTCTTGCTGTAAAAATAAAACAGACAAAACTTATGTATTATACGGATTATATGAAAATATAGATATATTATTCTTTTAAAATTTTTTAGGAATGTTTTTTCGATACTATTGAAACAAACTTTTTTCATCTTTAATACCAACAGAATGTTCGATATAAAATATAGGTGATGTTGAGAGAAAAATAATATTTATACTGTAAAAAAAAATTGAATAAATGAACTATAAAAATAATAAGTTAAATATTATTTTGCATTTAGAAACTAACAACAAAAAAGATAATAAAAATTAGAGTGAAGAATATTTTATAGATAATAAAAATAAATTCAAAAAATTGATCAATAAAATTGACAACTCCAAAAGAGGAAACATTACATAAACTAGAAATAATTTTGATTCTTTTTGAAATAACATTCACTTAAAGCTTATTTTCATCACACTCTTGACCTATTAGTTTATTTACTAACGGTGGTTATATGACGGTTATGTTACCCTCGACTTCACCATTACATTAAAACTTGAAAAATATTCGTTATGGTGAATGAAAAATATTTAACAAATAGAAATTAATGATTGCATTGTTTTTTTATTTTGACAGTGAATATGGCATGGACATGAAAAAAAAAATTGTGCTCCAGGATAATAGTTTGTTTGTAGTAGCCAAATAGTGACTCTGTTGAAGACATCTTGTGGCAAAGACAAGACTATACTGGAGCAGTAATAGAAATTGTCTTGTTAAGAGAACAAAAGATTATCTTTTTGCAACAATAGAATATTGGTTTCAATAACAGCTTTGAGCTGTTGCAGCAATATAATATTTTTTTAAATAATTCTTAAACGTTAATTCAGTGTATTTCAATTATGCTTTGATAATTATTCCTCTATTACATCGGGTTTTATCATATTGCCGGCTATTAGAAAAGGATATTTCTAGTAACTAGATTCTAGACATATTACTATCACCGACATTCAGTATAAAGTGAACATTAGTGGAGTAACATGTATGATCTCGGAGAGAATTTTTCCACTAAATGTAAGTGCAAAAAATGACAAGTTCACATTTCGAATTTTAGGAGTAAAAATATTTCTATTCGATAGTAAATTTCGAGTTCTTGTAAGTTAATTGAAACTTAAAAAGTGTCTTAGTAAAGTAATTACTTAGGATAACTAAACAATTACTTACCACAACCCAAAATTCAGTTGTACAGAGCACTTGCCATTTCTGACTTACAGTTAGTGCAAAAATTCTCTCTGTGTAGATTAAATCAATAAAGATAATAAGAATAGTACTAAAATGATAAAAATAAGAGTTAAGCTCAATAATATTTATAAATGATCAACATCAAAAATACTTTAATTATAATTTTAATAAATTATTTCTAATCTTTATTATTTAAAAATAAATCAAAAATTGATACATTTTAAACTTTTATTTATCTTGATAAGAACAATGTATACCTTTAATTAAAAACTTTCAATTCATTAAAACTAATGATAATTGAACTTCTAGGTCAAGAAATTAATTATGAAGTTTATAAATAAAGTTATTCCATCTATAAAAATTACTCAGTCTTTTTTGTTTTAATATTAACATATATCTTTTATAAAAATAGTTATCTATAAAAGATTGTATGATAAATCTTTCACCGTTGTTAGTTTTACCCTATATTTCTACACAGAGAGAATTTTTGTACTAACCTTAAGTAAAAAATGATAAGTGTACTGTGCAACAGTGAATTTTGAATTGTCGTAAGTAATTGTTTAGTTATCCTAAGTAATTATTTTACTAAGACACTCGAAATTTACTATCGAATAGAAATTTTTTATTTCTAAATTACGGAACGTGGACTTGTCACTTTTTGCACTTACATTTAGTGAAAAAATTCTCTCTGTGTAGGATAGTTGAATTTTTTAAGCATTGTTGGAATGGAACAATGTAGTAATTTATATTATAATAATGTTAAATAAATTATCTGTTAATCGCATAAATAAGTTATGCGATAAAGCACAGTAATTTAGGTACTTTATTGTGTAAAGTGAATTAAATTATAAGGATCAAGTTATTGTATTAACAGGATTATACTCGAAATTAACACTCAGAACATCCCGAATTCGTACCACTTAAAATTTAGATTATTACATTTTACACTTGCGAAAACCGATACGAATAATTTATATTACCATTAGACTTGTCAAATGATAAAACTTTTAGGAAATTACATAGTAAAAACATACATTATTTAAAATAGACAAAATATATAATAAATGTCTCATTTTGGTGTTCGAACAAACTAAAAACAATTTCATGGTTCGAAAATTTCTATCTTAGAGAGAATTGTCGTAGAGAAAATGAGATTTACTCAACTTTGTTTACGTAAAAAAAACCTCAGTATTTTCTTATGCACTTTAGTACCATTTCTAAAAAAATCTCACATGAGGTGTTAATAGATTAATCCGTCAAATATACACACACACAAATCTTCTAACTTTTGGACTTGAAAAAACAAAAAAACATCCTCTTAATGCCAAATTTTTTTCATTCTCAATTCAAAGTGTTTTTGATTAAAAGTGTTTCTGTTTGAAATTCTATCAGATTTTTCAAATTAGTGCTAGCTTTTGTTTCAGGATCCCTCAAGTTTTGCTTGCGCTTAGTAATGGATGAAGGCGTGGTGCACTTTAGCTTGACCTACATTCGTTTAAACATTTAAAATAGCTCGCGTTGCCTCGGGACGAGTCGTTATTTACTAGTGGTCCTCGAATCCTATTTGACTTATAGCAAATCTATATTGTTATGATTTTATTATAATGTTAAAAAAAGCATAAATTGATACAAGTAATGATGATGAATAAATAAATGAAAATCTTTTGAAGTATTATTAAATCTACATTAACAAGATGAATCAAGAAAAAAATACATCGTTTTCTTTTCTCGCGTGCAAATAGGCTTGACCTCGCAACTTTAACATCCTGATGCAAGTTATAAATGTATTGGCTAACATGCAAAGCATACAGTCTCACATGAAGAGCCATGTTCTCTGGCAACCCTCAACAACAATTTGCCTCAACTTTCTGGTGTTTAGTTGACTTGATCTGAATTTCTGAAGATTTTCAAGATATCATGAAGAGTTTATCCACATTTGAATACACACCTACACGTCACAATTGGCCTTCAGACTAAATAGAAGAGCTCTTGTTAACATTTCTTCATAAATTGTTGAATAGAAAATAACAGTAACAATTGAACTCAATGATAAATGAATGACTGTGAAATAACTATATCATCAGACGCATTTATAATAGGTATTAAAAGAAGCATCATACACGTATATATGTGGATAGATTAATAATATCCTTCACGGAAATGGATAATGATCATGAAAAAAAAGGAAAATAATGTGAGGAAATTGCGTGCCAGTGATAAATGAACTTTTTTGTAGCTTAACATATTTTTGATTAAAATGCTTGATTAATAAGGTGAGCTGTAAGAAAAAAATAATACTCTAGAGATGTTTTTGTGTTTAAAATAGAATAACATTGAGTTATAATAATGAGAATTACTAGGATATAATCAACAGTACTTTTGGCAAATAGTAGCCTCTAGACAAGTAATAGAGAAAATTTATTTTAGATCATAAATGCACTTCTGTCAAAATTTTTTTATATTTCATGCGGTAATATAAAAACAGCATGCATATTTTTAATATTTTACTTTGAAAATTAAATTTAAAAAAATTTCATAAGCTTTTATTTTCATTAAAAATATATGTAGATTACTTCATAGAAGATCAGTTGATTAAAATTTTTATATCATTTTAAACATTATAAAATTGAGAAGAACTAAAAATATTTTTTTTAATTAATTTAATTTTTTTGATGCTATTATAAAATTTGCAAGCAATAAAGGTGAAATAAAAAGGAGTTTCAAGTATAAGAGTAGAATTTTATTTTGATTAGTATAAATACTGGTTATTTTCTGACACTCTTATCTTACGTGCGAAACAAAAGGGAATAATGAGCTCAATCTAGTTTCTTACAAGAACCTAATATAATTTAAATTACATAGGTAAAATTCTTTTAATATTTTTGAAGCAAGAAGTTTTAAAAAGTTTTAACGCTTTGATAGCAAAAATAACTTTTATTATTCTACTTTTCGTATTATAAAAAGTTTATCTACCGTTTATTTACAATAACAAAAATATTATTCAGTATGAATAATCTTTTTTAATAATAAATAAACAGAATGTATTGTAAATAAAACTTTTAAATAATATAAACATCTTTTTGACGTTATTAGGGAGTTTTTTGATGCTTCAATTATTAGTGTATATCCAAAGTTTTTTTATGAAAGAAAAAAAAAATTGACAAAAAAAGTATTTTTTTTTAAATCTCAAAGTTAATAAACGAAGAATTTTTATTTATAAATGTGAATCATATCAAAACTAAATAAATGTCACTATCGACAAAGAAAAATATTTTGTGATATTAAATTCTTTAATCAAAATAAGGTTTGCTTATGTAAACATTTAAAAAAATTGTAGATGAAAAGGGAAAACTAACAAAATAATATCAACAAATACGACGTTGCATGTTTTAAAGTGAAAATTTATTTAATAATAACGAGTTTTAGAAGATATTAAGTTTAGATAGACTAAATAAAAAATTCAAAAAACGTTATGTTCTTGATGTGAGTCTACAAATATCATGTGAAATTATTTTAATGAAAAACGAAACGAATATTACTGCTGTCGAGAATTTTCAAAATAAGTCCTAACAGAAGACTGATTGGTGACGTCAAGAAAAGATGGATTATTTAAAACATATAATATAACATTGACTTAATTAAATACTAATAAAGGAGTCAAGTCAGGCAAAAGCTGACTTCAAAATTTGTAGAATAAAAATATTTTACAATAGTTTAGAAAGTCATTAATAATAGTAATAAATCAAAGTAAATTTTGAAACAAAAAAAATTTCTTTGAAAATGTATGGAATTTTTTCTCTCTACCTAAACTCTACATCAAATTTTCCATCCCTTGGTTATCTTATAATGCAACGAGCTGATTCTGCAAGAATAAAAAAATCGATCTGAAGAGATGCAATCGAGATATATTGGGTAAGAATTTCAAAAACCGATTCTGACTTATAAACAGACTTTAGAAATTCTGAAAATATTTTCTTTGAATCTCTCTAGAGTCCTCGTTTGAATAAAAAAAAAGAATACTGAATCAAAAAATTGAATAAATTGTTAAGAATAAAAAAATTATTAAATAGAAAACTTCAAACCAGAGATTTTTTTTCAAAGAGCCACAAAAAAAAAATTTAAAAGAACAAATGAATTCTTAAACTCACATCAATTACTTTCTAAATTGAATATCACTTTGATTAAAAGTTCGAATAATTAAAATACACACAACTATCTTTAGACGCAAACTGTTTACTTATGAATGCGATTATTAGTTTGAAACAAGTTATCAACTAAAGCTTTTGAACTACTTAATTATTTTTTCTTACTGTTAACAGTAAATTCTTGTAGCAACCGCTTAAATTTTATCTTGTTAAGTCAAGTCTTTAAAAAAGATGTTTTTCCTAAAAAAGAAAATTTCAAAGTTATTTTAAATGAGATAGTAGTCTATGGAAGCACATTATGTACTGCTCCACATATTTTATTAAACGAGAACGTGAAGAGACCTTCTTCTACTAGTAGATACGCTAGACACCTCTCAACACATTTCAATTGCATAATACGATTGCAGTGAGAGATTCACAAATGATGTCAAATGATAGTTGTGTAGTATGCAATTGTCGATTTCAGTTAAGAACCTAGTAAATTATCATTAAAGTATTATAGTGTTTGAAACAATTGTCAAGTCAATAAAAGAATATAACTATTCTTAAAGCAATACGAGTTTGTATTGTGTCAAAAGATTTTAATTGTAATTTGAATTTTAGAGAAACAGTTGGGTTTTAAATGTAAAAAAGCCATTTGAAGGACTTCAATTTTATTGGATGACTGATATTCGATTGTGAAAGTGACAATATTCAGGAGAAAGAGAGATTTTGTTATGAATATTTAAATTCTTTAACGATTTAATTCTAAAGATAATAAAAAAAAGGAAGAAGAATTGGAATTAAATCCAGATTGATAGCATTTTTTTTTATTTGGATCAGAAAAAGCTTATTTATTGTTGATGAGTTGGTTCAATAGATCAGAGTTGAGTAAACTTTAACTTTGTCAGAGCATAGACAGAAACACTTATGAAAGGATTTCAACATAAGCTCAGTGTTATCTCACTCCCTCTTGCAGTAGCCACAGAATATGTCTATCTAGAGATTACTAGAAAATCAAAAGATCTAAGTTTGTCCGGTTTTGCAATAGATATCCACTAGAAGTTTAATAAAAAAATGGACAATAATTTTTCTGTTTAGTGGTTAAGTATGAGTATAATCGTCTTTTTTAACTCGAGTTCATTAAATTTTTTTCTAAAGAATTCCATACATTGCATTTTTAATGACTCGCTAATTAAACAAGAATTAATTAATAATATCGAAAATGTCTAAAAATGGAAGATAAATGGCTTTGTGGATACTGAGGAAAAAATGAATTTTTTTTTAAACGTTGATCAAACAATAGTTTTATCTCCAATGAATACTTCAATATTAACTGTTCATTCATATCAAGTTCATTTCATCTTTGTAAAATATTTAAATTCAAATAAATCATATCAATGGAGAAAAATTGTTATTTAAAATTAAAATCTCTACTTGATAAATTAAACACTTAAAAAATTTTATATAATAACCCTTGAAATAAAATAATTAAAAGATTTTGTTTAATAATATTGTGTGAAAAAATGAGTAATTTTGGTGCATTTTACAACAAACAATATTAATTCATTTTTAACGAACAGGACAACTCGATTTGAATAAAGTTTACACTAATCATTCTATACATCAATATATGCAAATAATTACATGTTATTTTATTTATTAAACAATAGGTCAACATTGCGAATATCAAATTAAATGTCGAAATGAAAATCAAATTAGTACTTTTACAATCCAACAGTTTTTAAATAATGAGTAAGAATTTGAACCCATGTTGTATTACTTTTAATTAAAATATAAAGCATTTTAATATGTATATGAAAATGGATAGTTAATAATCATTAATTAAATCATTCAATATAAATAATTGAGTGGAAATATTGGTTGGGTAAAATTTTAATAATAGATTTATATAATTAACTAATCGAAATTTGAGTATTAATATACAAAACTTTTTCTTTGACATAGATATGCTTGATTGGGTGTTAAAAAAATTAATTAAAGGATAGTAAGAGCGAGCAGCGAATTAATTTACATTTAATTTTTGCTCTGTAATTATTTTTTTTTATTCAAACCAACAATTTTTTAATTGAATAAAAAATTAGCTGTTAATTAAATTTTTAAACGATTTATGTGGAAGACTGAGAGAATCATTGGAGGGTTGAATATCGTTGGAAACTATATAACCGATAATTAATTTGATAAACAACTTGGAAATAATATAAAATATTATTAAAATATGCAAGCATTACCGTCTATAATACAGATCTACATCTCTTAACATTTTTATTCATTTAAAAAGTGGTATTTATTTGTTTCTTATTTGAAAACAATTTATTTCTTGAAGAATACGTTATTGTTCGTGATTGGAAAATAAGTATTATAACAAAAATATAATAAATAGAAAACAGCAATCAAACAGGTAACATTGATTAGTGCTTCAGTCTCGAAGAACTGATGATTAGAGATAGTGGAAATTTCAAACTTAGTGACATTTAAAACTTATCGAAATATTTGGTTAAGAATTTCTAGATATTACTTTATCATTAATTAACATCTCAAAATTAAAAAAAAAAAAAAATAAGATTGAAATACAGATGATTATATTCATGCAGATCAGTTTAATTATTAATAGAATCAATAATGTGTTTATCGTTGACATCAATTTCAATAAATAGTTTGAAGAAAGAATGTATGATTAAAAATTGAAACAAAACTTACTTTAAATCCTTTGTACCACTCCTTAATGGTGGCTTCATCATATCGTGTGTGTGACTTGAGAAAATCCATGTCTTCTTTGCTGAGTTTGTCTTTGCTTCCGAAGCAACCCATTTTGAATACTGAAACAGTTACACAAACATAAATGAAGTAAAATTTAATGCTATATCTGTGTTAGTTGTGTATTCTGTGTTTAGTGTGAATTGTGTAATACACGAAATATAACAACATACAATACGTTTTTACATATAGAAATGAAATATATTGTTTTAGAAAGTTACTCCTGAGGTATTTTTCTGAAAATAAGAGAGTTAAATTGGTAACGAAAAATAACGACGAAGAAAAAAGAAAATAAGTAAAAAATTTAAATGAAACTTGGAATAAAAACTTTTGAAAATACTAAAATTATTGTTAAACTGAAAATACTTTGGAATGAGTATTTTCCAAATAAATGAAGTTTAAGAAAAAATTAAAATGTTTAAAACAAACTGAAAGAGACTTGGAATAAAATTTTTATACTTTCAAAAACTAAGTCAATTTAATGTGAATTTAAAGTTATAATTTCACTAAAAAATCTCTCGACACATATAAAGATATATTTAAAATAGTTTAAGATACCAAACAAGTAATTTATTATTCTAGAATTCATTTCTAAATGAATGCGAATAAATCCTTGAATATCATTTTATTTTATGACAACTTAGATCTTTCAAGAAATTAAAATTCTTAAATAAATATGATAGATTCTTAAGAAATGTATTTTACTTTGAAAAACAATTTAAAAGTCTTTAATCATATTAATTAATGTAAAAAATAATGTAAAAATATTCTAGAGCTTCTTGTTGACTGTGTCAACAGAACAAACGAAACTAAATGAGTTTTTGCTACCATTGAAGTTGTAAAAAGTTAATATCACTAGGTAATCTACATAGTCACAGCTAAAAAAAAATCACCTCGTAATTCAGTCAGAAACACTTGTCGTGTCTAGTTCAATTGACCGAACATGAATGAAAGAAACTGAATGATACAGAAAAAATTCAAAAATGGGTATTATTTTATTTATTTTTTTTGCCATGAACATAACATGTGCTGTTGATTTGTCAGTCACACTAGAGTCAATGAGTTTTTTTCATGATTGAAGTAGGTTAGTTCAACTATCAACTATTTGCAAAAAACTTTTTTTTATTTTGTGAGAAAACTTGTTTCTAGTCTTGTTTTTAGAAAAAGTAAAAAGTTATTATTATCAAAATAAAATCGATTGTTAATTTTACAGTGATCTTAAATATTATTTTGAGATATTACAATAAATATTTGATAACTCATAAATTATTTATAATCTGTAGTTTCCAGGACTTCTTGTTTAACAAGAATAGAAAAAGTTGTATTTTATATTAGACAAAATCTGATCAAACTGTGTCTTTTTATGACCATAGATTGTCTATTGTCATCATTAAATACGATTTTTATCGAAGAAAAAATGATGAAAGATACAATTTAGATGTAGATACTGTAACGAAGTTACATTTTTAAGGCCGATATTATAGAAAATTAATTGGTCTGAGAATCGATAATCAGTAAAACCATTTTATCGACCCATGAGAAATAGCGAAAAATCCAGCTCTTTTATACTGTTTGGCTCCGCCCACTTTGCTATCCCCCACCACTATTGTGGTAAGTTGCGTGGGGGAGTCGTCATGGCAACAAGATCATCACAATATCTTTCTCTCTCAGATCTATTACGTTTCTTATGACCCTCTCTCTCTAATACATGGTTTTAATAGGCTTCGCCGATAATTTAAATTTCGCGCTATCTACGTACATTTTAAGTCCTATCAATGAGCCGTTATATCTAGGGGCAAGTTTGGCGGCACAATGGTTAGCTGCTGCCGAAAGATACTCTTTCTTAGTTACCATGTTTTTTATACCTGGTACCCTTTTCCGTCTGTTTTTACTGTAATACTTCTTCTGTTTTCCAGATGCTAAAACTCTATCATCTTGCAAATGTCTTGACCGGTTCATTTCTTCTAAAGTACTTGATATCGTATTTGATGGTAATGTTTTTCTGTCATATTTTGGATAGACTTGTCTGACTTTAGTAGATTCATTACTTGCAAACTTCCGCTTAGCTAAATTTCTATCCGAAGATTGGTATAACTTCTTGTCGTGCTGCAAAATCATGGTTTTTAGCACCTTGTTAGTTCTTCCAACTCCTTTATGTTGTGCACAGTATAGTGGAGTTTCCACATGTCGTATTCCGAAATCCTTCAACAATTTCTGGAATTTCCTACTGGTAAACTGAGTGCCATTGCTCGTGACGATTGTCTTCGGGCAACCAAATTGGTAAATAACTTCTTCTTTTAGAACTCTACAAATTTCTGAAGCTTGAATTACTAACAATTGAGTGTGTCCATTTGACGATCTGATAAAAGGACTTTGTAATTTGACTGCTATAATTTCCCATGGCTTCGTAGCATTGATAGTTGCCATTATTCCTGACGTCTGCTTCTGAGGGGACTCGTATCGTTGGCGTTTTTTGCACAAACGAACGTATCTATTGATTTCGTTCTGCATTCTTGGCCGAACATACTTATTTGCGATTCTTGAAATCGTTTTTGCCACCCCCGAATGTCCAGAAATCACGGTTTTGTGGTCACCTCTCAATACTTGGAGCCTTTTTGCTAACTTATATGCTGATTCTTGATCGGTATCTTCATTGTCTAGTGGGTCACAATAAGGTCTTTCGTCAATCTCTTCTAATCCTTGTTCTCCGTTCATGCTGGGTATCGGATTCACGATGTTCTCCGTTGGTTCCTTCTGATCTCGAGTTTTTTTTATCCTTTTCTTCTTTTGAATTGTTTTCCAATTTTGTTGACATCCACATTGAGTTGCACGAACATTCAATTTACCACATCTAAAGCAAAAGATTTGTGGCTTACTTTGGCATTTCCAACTTTTATGACCTTGTTGCCCACACTTCCAACAGCATTCTTTACTGTCATACAGGCTATGAACCATATTAATATCTGAACTACGTTTGTTACGTCTTTTATTTTCTTCTTTGCAGTCATTAACTCCAGACGACTTGAACCGCTTCTCGTCATCTCTTAACCGCTCATATTCACTGGTCATACTGATGATATCTGTTATCGTTTTTACATCACATCTTCGAACATATCTTCTATACTCTTGTCTTAAATTCTCATGAATTCTTTCTATTTGTTCTTCGTTGCTTAGAGTTCCTTGTCTACGCATGAGCGTCTGCAGAGCCGTAATAAAATCGCGTGCTGCTTCTCCAGGTTTTTGAACTCTATCCTGGATTTCTAAACTTAATTGAGTTCGATATCGTGTGGGTAAATAAAATTCTTTCAGAGCTTTAGTAAACTCTTCCCAATTTTTCCAATTCCTCTTATTATTTCTGTACCACAACAAGGTTTTGTCCTTCAATAATATTGGGATGCACTGCACAAGATATTTGTCTGCTATATCATAGCTTATTGACAACTCATCAACTCTTTCGATAAACGAGACTACATCTTCGCCTCCAGCGAATGTGACGTTCCATTTCCGGATCTGCTCTTTTATCTTTAGGTCCCTTTCCTCTTTTGATTCTGGCTCGCGCCATCTACTTGATTGCGGCGTAGAATGACCAAAGGAAACTATAGATTGTGCTCTCGATATGTGCTCCCTTAATTGTTGCGTCAATAAATCTCTTAGACCGGGTATATCGTCGATATTGTTGATCACTGTCGGTATGTTAGGTTCCGCTAATTTGTCTTTATTACTTTCTCTGACTGTGTGCTGACCTTCACTTGTATCTCCACTCGTCGATTCAATGTCAAAATTGTCCTCCATATTTCCCCTACTCCGATCATCCATGATGGCATCACGCAACATTTGTCTTAGTTGTGCTACCGGGACTTTAAATGGCATCTCAATTCCACAAGCTTCTAACTCAGCTCTAACTTGCGGCTTCTCTAACCTCCAGATATTAACTCTTGATAGACCGGCTTCCATATTTAACTCTTTTTAAAGCTCTAAAGCCTATAGTTTATTTGCTTATTCAAAACTTTCCAGTCCTACGTTCGAGCGCCAATTGTAACGACTAAATTTTCTTTACATCTTTGCTTATAATATTCTGGGTCTTTACTTCTTCCTCCTGAGCTTAACACTAACAGGTAGAGGTTTCTTGAAAGTCGGGGAGTCTTGGTTTGATGTTGAGGGCTGCTGGTAATCAAGAATCTGTGAACCAGCTGATGGTGTTCCTTTAGACGGATCTACCAGTACAGGTGCAGTGAAGACAGGGGTAGTTGTCCTTGCAACCTGACCAGTGATTGCTTCCACTTCCTGAAGCAGTGATAGCTGTACTGTTTTTACCCTCTGTGCAGTGTCAGTCATGGCTGTTTTGAACAGGTTGGCGTTCCTGTCAGCATCCTTTCCTAACCCTTTGGCAATCTCCGTCAGAATAGCCACTGCCTCAGACAATTGGCGGACCACTGGTCCAATGTGCCTTTGGTTCTCTGATGAGTGGGATTACTTGACAAAGCCCCCAGCTGATTTGACAGCCTCCCATTATCTCTTGTGCCTAACAGGACCAATGAGCAACTCAGTTAGACAGGAGAAGTTTATGAGAGCTGCTAACAACTTGGCTATCCAGAGGGCACTACAACAGGCACATTGGACCAGTGTCTCTGCTGTTGTTGGGGAGGTGGTGGCCGGAGTCTCTCTCTGCTCCTCATCGGTAGATATGGCTGCGGTGTCCTGGCGGTGTGCAAGAGTCTTCTCCTTGTGCGCAACTGCTTGGGACCCTGGAGACACCTCATCCTCTAGTTGCTTGGTTGTGCCTTGTGCTTTCCGGACTGGGTCGTGGCTCTGCTCATGGCTGGCTAGCGAGTGTGAGGGTTTTGTTTATATCTTTAATTTTACTCTTCCAAACCAACAATTTGGTTTTACAATACAAATAAGGTGACGTTGTGTAAGCGAAACTGTACATAAATTGGTTTCGTTTTATACACAATTTGTATAAATTGTATGCATTCTAGATACAATTCGTATAATATATTTACAAAAATAAAAAAATTTGTTATTGTATAAAATAAACTGGTATAATATAAAATTTTTCTTA